CAGCTGCCGAGTACCATCCAAAGGAAAGGCAGGGATCTTCAATATGGGAAGTGGCACCTCCAAACTTAGTAACAGTGTGTGACAAGTTTCAACTTGTTGGGTGCAGTCAATCAGGTGTGAGCTATGGTTGAGAGTAGGTGTGTTTTAAAGTGTACCATAAATCATCCTCCATGATGACAACGCTCCGTGTCACACATCGCTTCTGGTATACAGCAACTTCTGTCAAAACAAAATTATGGTGTGTCCTCATCCACCTTATTCACCGGATCTGGCACCGTGTGACTTCCAGCTCTTCCCCTAAGTCAAAATGGTTCAAGACATCAAGGCAGCCACGACAGCGCAACTAGACACTCATGAAAGAGGACTTCCAGAACTGCTTCAGAAAGTGGAAAGAACGATGCAACAAGTTTGTTCAAAGCGAGGGGGAATATTTTGAGGGGCATTAATGGCAATGTGTCTTTTGCTGTAATTAATTTTTTTTATTTAAAATCTTACCTTATTGTTTGATCACACCTGGTAAGTTCCATGCCAAGCTTAGGTAATAAACAGTATGTTGTATGAAGATAATCAAAGATTGTTTTTCTTTGAGAAAATTATTTTGAAGCTGATATTTTAAAAAAGAAATTGCTGCATTCCACAAAGAATAAAAAATTTCTCATAATTGAAGTAAAGTACTGTATTACAGTTCTCCAGAAGTACAGAATCAGTAGAATATTGTATGTGCAGATGGATGGATGGATGGATGGGTGGGTCGATTAAGTGTATAGAATTAGCGCACATGATTATGGAGGCTGAGCAATCCTAAATTCTGTGGTCTCACAAGATTATAACGGATCTGAAAAATTCCTATCACTTAGTGACATTGTAACATCATAGGGCAACACATTCTTTGTGTTTGTGGTGATGCTAAGGGAAACAAACCTGTGCTGCCAGTTGCATAAAAGTATAGCACAAATATTGTATACAGTTCATAATACTTGATAATGATAGTAAACAACTATGTTACTGCTTTATGTGTTTACTATATTATACTTTTTATCATTATTTTTTAGTGTACTCTTTCTCCTTATAAAAAAAAGTTTTCTGTGAACAGTATGCCTTGTTATCCCAGCAGCAGCCTCAAACAGCTTGTTTAATTGAGTCTTGATTGCATCATGTTCTCTCATGTTTAACCTCATGTTTTGTACAGTAACATGCTGTATATAGGCTTGTAGCCTAGAAGCAATAATAGGCTATACCATACAGCCTAGGTGTGTGGTAGGCTATACCATCTAGGTTTGTGTAAGTGCACTCTGTGATGTTCACACAGTAATAAAAATGTCTAACAATGCATTTCTCAGAATGTAGCCCTGACATTCAGTGGCTTATGACTGTATTCAGTTTTCACCTGATTGGTTGAGGCCCACCCACATTAGGAAGGACAATCTGCTGTACTCAGTCTACAGATTCAAGTATTAATCTCATCCAGAAACACCCTCAAGATCACACCCAAAATAATGTTGACCAAATGTCTGGGCACCCTGTAGCCCGGTCAAGTTGACACCAAAAAAAAAAACATCAGAAGTACACAAAGGCATAAAGATAAAACTGAAATTATTGGAGCTTAAATGTAGAGCAATATGAGAGAAAAACAATGAACATAGTGAGAATGAATGTATAATAGAAAATCTATGAGTCAGTCAGGCTTTGAAGACCACATTTAAGTTACATAATAGTGCATTATCATAGATCCTAGAACAAGAATTGTGGATATTACATTTGGGGACAATCATTTTAGCACTTATATCTAGGATGCATAACAATATGAAGACACTGAAATTTAGAAACCAGTTATCAAAAAGCCCCAAAGACCTAGATTAGGATAAATGCTGTGGAAGTACAGAGCAAATTCAAGACTTTGAGCAGATTAAAACAAACAACAAAATCAAACAGAAGTTGATGAAAATATAATAGAGGAAAATAATTGAGTTTGAATGCAAGTGTCATTGACAGCACTGAGAAACTGAGAAGATATTTATTTGTGGGAATCAAAGGTGAGGCATTTAAGATGACATAAAATTTAAAGTGCATCTTTAATCCTCAATCTCCAAATAGAGTATCATAAAATATTAAAATGTAAACATGAATGTTAACATGCTGGGGGAAATTCTTGTCTTTTTAAATAGTTATTGCAAGTGTATTATTTTTAGTTTACTTTGAAGAATAGAAATAATATTTATCAAAAAAAACAAATGCTGTAAATGAGTTGTTATTTTGGTAGAATAATAATGTCTTTTAGCAAGTTATCTTACTAAATTACAAATAAATCCTGTAAAGTTACTATTACTACACCTTTATCCATATAGTTAATACAATTAGCTTTGTATACTCATTCTACTATTGATTGTTCTTAAAGTATTTCTCTGCTCTATCATTCCTTGCATATTTTATAATGCAATTAAATGCAAACTGCTTTTATTGTATTAAAAATTGTAAAACGTACCACTATTTTATGTTATTTTAATTATTGCCAGAAATGCTTGACTTGCTACAGTGAATAATGGAGTATATCTTCCATTTACTTTCAAGGATTAAGAAATTGAGGGATTTTTCAGAATACAGAATTCAACTATTTTTTAAGCACTAAAGGTATTAGGAATATTTTCTAAATCTAGGAAGATTTTGGGTTTCCTGGTTTTCGTGTTGTTTTCTCATCAAATGCACCAGTCCTGAGCTCAGCATCCTGTGGAACTGGACTGCCAAGCTGCTAACCTGGTTTTTAAGCTTGTGTAAGAGGAGATGCTTTACTCTTTCTAGTAGACGCAGAGAAATATTTCTAGAAGTAAGCCAATGAGTCATACACACTTTAGTGCGATCACTATAATTAGCTAATAAAATTGCTCTCTTCACTCAGTAAAGAAGTGGAGGTCAGAGTTTGGGAGAGACATTTGGAACATGGGTCACATCACGGGTCACATCAGGGCCCGATAATCGCATGGTGAAGTAACACAATGATAAGTGTCTGTCCCCAGCATTCACTCCATGGGAGTCCAGGGCATGGTAGTGAGTGCCAGTGGTACCCCTGCTAGTAGGATCCCAGGTAGGTGAGGAGATTAGTAAATCGGGTAGATGTAAATGAAACTTTTCTGATAGTTATGACAACATTACCATGACATAAATTCCAGCCCCTACAATATTTGTGTCCTGGTTTTGGAAAGCCATTTTGAAAAGTCTGACTCTTCTGTTTCATTCTCTTTTGTTTTCCCCTAGTGAATGTGTTGTGAACTGACATTTTTGAGAATGTTATAAATACAGATTATTTATATGTAGTGTGGGTAAACAGTTGACTAACTGGGAAACTATTTAGGGACATATACTTATCCTGATCCATCCTAACATGAGTAAAATTACTTATATCTGCATAGTACTTTACAGTTTTCAAATCATCACCATCCTTCATTTAAGAAAATACAAAGTTACTTGACATTGCTTCCTCCTGAGTCTCTGTATGTGCGCAGACAAATGGACACTGAGCCTATATTTTCTCCACACTGATTGCATGTTAGTTTAGATTGTAATAGAAATGTTTATATTTGGGAAAAACACGTGTATACGAATTTCCCTGATATTCTTCCAGTTTTTTGAAAAAAAAATGTGTTCAGATTTTTCTTGCTGAAAACTTGGTTTCTTTCTCGGTAGATACATCAATTTTTTAAAAATCTTTTCCCTAGGATTTCTCTTTAAATGGTTAACAGTTAAATTTAAATTTCTATATTTAGGTAGAATTATGTTTATATACCAACCACCAGTATCCAGGAAATTCAGTGGTAAGGCTGACACATAGGGAGTTTGTAGTCTATTTTGTAGTCTGTGTATTTAGACAAGGTTTGAAGCTTACTTAGCAAAATCGCTTAAACATTCAAGCAGGATTTCTTTAGTACAAATGCACTATTTGATTTCTTATAATTGTTAAGATAACAGTGTGTCACTTCTAAAAGATTAGTTCTCAGTAATATATGTTAGATTTATTCCTTTCAAAGAAGGATGCATTCAGAAACCGCTTTTATATGTAAATATTTTTATAATATTGGATAGAGTTGCTTCGGTGCAATCACCATAGTTTGATCAAGTTTGGAAGAAGTTACAGTCACATTTTTGTAGTGTTTTCTCCAGCATCTTTCTGTTTTTCAGCTGGATGTATTTTATGTTTCTTCCAACTAATCAAAATAAGAAACTGATTTTGCCTGTACCAAAAAATAGAACTATCATCTTTCACATTCTTTTATTTTTCAGGTCATTTTCAAGTAAGATTGTGTTTCTATGACTTCTGAATTCCAGAAAACTCTCAACTTTGTAGATATAAAGGCCCAGATGGATATTTCAGGGGGAATCTAACTTTTCACGCAGTATGTTTTGTGTTGTGCATTCCAGATACAGTTAACTTTTTGTGTGCATGTGATTAGTGTGGAAAGAAATTAATGCAGTCCCATATTATGATTTATGGACTGAATCCTTTGCCCACTGAAGACTTGCCAAAACTAAAACTATTTTTTTTCCTTTGGATATTAGAAACAGCTACTGTTTTTGTTGATCTTTTAAAGTTCTGAATGGGCCTATTTCAAATCATACCAGCATGGGAGCTCAGATTAATAATATACTTATTCAACTAGTGATACTGAGTGAAACCATTGCTCACATGGATGTGAGGATAAAATTTCATAAAATTATTTTCAGGTGCATTAATGCATTTCTGGAAGCTGCACATGATTTTTCTTTTGCATGAAAGAAATCAAGGATTTCTGTTCATTGTATCAGTTACAGGTGGGCTTATAAGTTAATTTAATTGCATTTTTTCATACCCTAAAACATAAGACATTTTACTTTTAAAAGCACTAATGTGATTGCTGGATTATTCCCAAGAGTTTTTAACTCTTAGTCTGTTTTTCTCTCTTGAGGCATCACGACTGTAGTATATTTAATTTAGGCTATTGAGAAAATTCCTAAATTTCCTTTGTTGTTAGTTACAGCAAGCAGCTGAAATTTCACAACTTCGGGGAGCAAGGGTAATATCTGCCGAAGATCTTCTGTTTTTGATGCGCAAAGATAAGGTAATAGAAAACAATTTCATTCTGTTACACTGACATGTTTGGTGCTTAATTACACTTACGTAAGGAAACTATGTATCCTGGTTATATAGCTTTCAGATTGCAATCATAACTATTGAACTGATAGTTTACACAACAAAGTGGTTTATAAGAGAATTGAATTTTTTTTTTTTGACATGGGCAAGGTCACTTATGTAAAACTATGCTGACAACTAATTCTCACTTATCCATAATATCCATTTAGGCATTCATTGCTACATAATATTTATTAAATATTGACTGTTTTGATGAGTGAGATAGTTAAAACTGAGTGCATATTTATTTTTCTTCTATTTTTATACGGTATTACAGGCTTTCATAGAATAATTTTTTAACTTGAAATACACAGGTTATTCTGTGACACTAGGCTATAGGAAATAGCAAATCAATCAGGGTGAATGTTCCAATAGCATAAATATATACCAGAATGTCTAGAATGTGTGTGTGTGTGTGTGTGTGTATTTAAAGATCTACCTTTCTTAGTCTTTGACCTCTGGTATTAAAATATCTAAGCTGGTATTTATTTACATGTTTAATTTTGTCATAACTATCTTCCATGAGTCACTAGTTGAAAATACTTTATAAAATTTTACTTGTTTTTAATCAGAGTTTCATCTAAAAGGTGCATGTTAAAAAACTAAATGAATAACCACAGTGTGCGATGGTAGAGGCTGTCACAAGTCAGCAAACAGTGCTTCGTTCCTAATGTTACATTTTTCATTTTTCCATTGTTTTTTCCTGGCCTTTTAATTACACTTACCCATTTTTCTAACACCATTTTTTGTATTCTTGTGGCTCTGTTTTTTTTTGTTTTTTGTGTTTTGTCTTAATCAAAAGCCATCCCATCTTTCCTTTTGGATAACCTTGTTAACATCCTTTCTAATATGGAGTCACTTTATATCTGTAAATAACCTTTCATTCTGATTGATTGAAAGTAGATTAAACTTGAATCAAGTATTTTCTCTTCCCATGCAATGACATTCAGAGAGCTAAAAATTTTGCCTAACCAGTCTACCATTAAATTTTATTAATTTTTAGTTCATTAATTCTTAGTATGGGAAATACAAAGGAAAAGAAAAGAAATGTCTTCACTTTCAAGAAGCTATAATCTGGTTTAGAAAATCTGTATGATTTAGTGAAGAGGCATTTTAAGACTCACAGAATTTCAAAGTTGTATGATTAAGTGGAGAGGCTGTAGGATTTGTTGAAGTGGAGGTTTCTGCCTGGGGTAAGATTCATGCAATTATATGTGGCATGGACCAAATGCAAAGGAACTAAGCAGGGTGCTGGTTGAGTCATCAAGACAAAATAGAATTACTGTGATTGCTCTGGAAGTGGATAGGAAGGAAGAACTCACAGAGATGGTAGGAATATGCAGGATTTGATGACATCGGTATAGTTGGAGGACTAGGAGAAAAAGGCACTATACACCCCTGGTGCTGTGAAGGAGCAGCCTGAAGGTGCTATTGGCAGAGATGAGGGCCTTTATGCTGGCAGCTGGGGAGCAATGGAGTGAGTTAGCGTCACTACTTATAGAGTGTGTTCAGTGAGTTTTCTTTTTCACTGACAGAGGTAAAGAGGCTAGCACAAAAAAATAGCACACAGTGACACATTTTCCTGCCTTTTGGGGAATTTAAAATTTTAAATCATATTGAAACTTCAGGAACATACACGAATTGACAGTGCCTTTCTACTGTCCAGAAGGACTCTTAATCAGAATCTTTTTAGATTCTGCCAAGAACATTGCCATAAAATGAGAGTTGCCATTGTCCTCATCCTTCTCCTCAAAATAACAGTTTTATTTATATGCTGACATGTTCAAAACAGAATTTAAAGTAATTTGCATAGGTGTAATATAAGACAATAAAATCTGACGTACCGAATGGAATCAGCAAAGGGAAAAGAAGAGTACAAAAAGCCTAATACAGGTGTATGTGTTTTCTCTTAATAATTCTAGTTTATATCAAAGCAGTATTTATTGACTACCTACTATGTTTTACATATTACACTAGGCAGGGTATTTATTCCTCACAATAGTCCTGTAAGGTGGGTACTTTACTCTCTTTGTAAATGAAGAAACTGAGGTTCAAAGGTTATGTTCTACTTCTGACCCTGCTAAGACTGTTTTTAACCTCAGCTTCCCTATATATAAAGGGGATATTATAGTTGTCTATATCTCAGGGCTATTGCAGATATCAAGCAAAATGAATATAAAAGAGCTTTGTAAAATGCAATAGGTTTCAGCTATTATTAGGACTCTTAAACCTGAAGGTCAGGAACCAGTAATAATACATTCTAAGTGTAAGCACACAACAAATTACAAAGTATTATAGTTACTTTTAGAGCTGGGCAGTGTTATGGTCTTCTAATAAAACTAAAGAAAGTCATCGTTAAGACCCAACTATCACTAATCAGCTTTCAGTTTCATAAAAATGTTTCTCAGATTACAGAATGGTTTCCAGAACTACAGACCATAAACCAACTCTTCTAAATAAAATATTCTCAAAGAATAAAAAAACAATAAAAAGGAGAGTTCATGGCTTTTTAACACAGTCACTACAAACTCCTCATCTAGGTTGTTTATGAATAATTTTTAAAAATAAAATTTGGTCTTGAATGTATACAAAATACCATAAAGCCAGTATAGTCAGCTTAGTATGGAGGTGTTATATTTATCGCAGTCTTCAGAGAGAATCTGAAACTTTTTATAAGACCAAAAAATAAGGGTAGTTAAAAGTCTGGAGTATTGAGATACTTACAAATGAAAAGTGCTTTTAAAAATGCTGTGTAATCAGCTTTTATGTTTTATTTGATTACTACATTTTTTATTACATAGTATTATGGTGAGAATTGCTGTATTTTCTCTAATGATAAGATTGGGGTACATATTTATTAAATTCATTTATGGTAGTCTTTAATCAGTGAAGTGACTATATGTATAATGTTTCTTATTTACTGATTTCGTATTTTTAATAGAAAAAACTTAGAAGACTGCTAAAATACATGTTTTTCCGAGACTACAAATCAAAGATTGTCAAAGGCATAGAGGATGATGATCTTCTGGAAGGTAATCTAAACAAAACACTGAATTAAAAACAATGAAGCATGTATGCTACACCACCATTTATGCAATGTCAATGTAGATATTCCCATCAGAGTAGGATATATGTACTTTCGTTAAATAATGTACTTTACAAATTAGCCGAATATTTATTTAGTTGGTAGCTAAATCTTGTGTGACTTAATAGTAATCTGGTATTTCAGTTTTTTTCTTTTTATAATGTGACCTGCTTTGCATCAGGGTATCATAAAAAAAAAGAAAATTGTATTGATTCAAAACATAATTGATTTTAGCAAGCAGAATTTTTTGGTTGTGGATGTAAGAAGCCAGAACTATTGTATCTTTGAAATTGATACATATGGGTTTTTGTTAATTTATTATAAAAAGTATCTGATATGTTTTTATGATGTAAAGTCACCTCATTTTGGCATTTAATTTCTATGTTGTTTGAAATCTTACAAAAAGCCTGAGGAGAAATTTTTCCTTGTCTGATATTCTAACTCAATTCCCCATTTTCGAATATTTACTAAAAATATTAATGTTGCAGAATCTGACAGTGCTAAGCTAAAAATAGATAATTACTAAACACTGCTTATTGAATCAAAATAAATACAGTTGACCCTTGAACATTACAGGTTTGAACTGCTCAGGTCCACTAATACACAGTTCTTTTCAATAAATACTGTAAATGTATTTTTCTCTTACTTAATGATTTTCTTAGTAATACTTTCTTTCTCTAGTTTACTGTATTGTAAGAATACTGTATATAACACATATAATATACAAAATATGTGTTAATAGACTTTATGGTATTGATAAGGATTCCATTAATAGTAGTTAAGTTTTGGGGGAGTCAAAGCTATACATGCATTTTTGTCTCTGCAGGGGTTGTTGCCTCTAACCTTCACATTGTTCCAGGGTCAAGTGTATGTTGTGTTTTTAGAAATAACTCATACATTTTGTACTGAACACAGTCACTGCATAGTGGTGTTATTGATAATGTAGCTAAACCAACTCTGCTGGATTAAGAAAAATCCCAGAAAACTATTCAAAACCATCTGAGGAGTCAACAAACTTTGAATAGCTAGTTACTTTCATTTACCCTCAACAAATCAGCAAATGTAATAACCATGCCAAAAAAGAAAAAAATTCTGATCAAATGTTTAATCAGGGTTGCCTATTTCATATTCCTAAAATTCTCATAGAATTTAATTCCTAGAAAATAGTTTTCCAAATGAATTTAAACGCTGTCCTTTATAGAGAGCATGAAAAATACAGATTTGGAGCGAAATAGACCTGAATTTTAATTAGTCCCTGACCTCCTCTTTCTCTCTAATGAGGGTCAGTTTTCTCATTTATAAGTCAGAAATTATACCATTTATCATGTGGAGTTATTATGAGAGTTCAGCATACTTTTGGAAAATCACCTGATACATTGCTGCCAATGAATAAATGATAGCTGTTAGTACCATGCTTTGAACACCAATAATCTCAGAGCGGTGAGACTAGTATTCAGTTTTACTAACACCATCGTATCAGTTTGATGTCCTCCCCTCCTTATTTATTTCAACTCTCTCCTCTTTATCCTCATTTAAATTTTCTAATTTTTTGTGTCTTACATAAAATTTTTAAATAGTTGATACAAATTATAAACAGAATATTTGGGTAAAATACATCTCATACTGACAAGGGACTTGTAGAATGGCCAGGTGAGGAGTGTGGTAGACCCAGTGAAACACAATTAGCTGGTGAAAAAAATTTTTTAATTATAGTTTAAGTCTCTAGAATTTATCCTAAGGACACACAGCAAATAGAGAAACACATTCAAAAACAAATCTACTAAATCTCATTAAAAACAGTGAGAAATTTTTGCATCTGAGCCATGACCTACCCCCTCACCCTTTTCCTTCCCCTCCTACCCTGCCACCCCAGCTCAATATGATAGAAGTTTTACTCTGGGCAAGTGTGGCCAAGAACACTGGGTACCAGTTTTTCCAGCTCCCAGTCTAGGGCAACTGTTTCATTCCAGGAGGGAAAGAAGGTCAGCGTCTCTCATTCCTCTGACTCTGTGTTGCGGAAGCTCTGTTCTGAGCAGACACAGCTAACTGGACTGCAGCTTCTTCTCATCCTCTATTCATAGGGAGGCGCTACCCCAGACATGACAGCCTGAGACTACTGGACCCTCATTGTCCCCGCCGCTAGCTTTACACAGAGAGTAAAGATTCACACCTAAAGGGACAAGCCTAGAAGACAAGAGGCTACCATCCCTGACCAGCTCCCCACTCTTAGATTCAGGAGGGTCTTTTCAGGAGAAGCTGATTGCTATTCCCAACCACAGCTCCAGTACAGGAGTGCACAGATTCAGCTCAGAGGGAGAGGCAGGCCTTAATAACATCTCTGTAGCCCTCCCAAAGGGGACTGACTATTTGAAACAGAGCATGTAGAAAACAATGGGGACCCTGGTGGTGAGCAATTAAGAGGAAACTGGTGGCTTCCTGATACTAGTAACAACAAGCAAAACCAGTGCATCAGCTAAAAGTTTAATAGAGGAAACAAAGGAAAGGCAGATAAGAAGTCCTCCTGGGCTCAGAGGAAAACTTAAAATCTATCAATACCTTGACTCTGCAAAGGGGCCCAACATTATTTAAATCAGTCTGAGTCTGTGGAGCAATTTATGCCCAAGAATATTATCAAAAACAATAGAGCAGTCAGCCAGCAATTAGTGGAAGAAAACAGCTATGTGTGATATCAGTAGAGTCAGACCAGCCAGAAACTTAATGGAGGGATCAGGAAAAGTAACAGCCAAAGAGAACCTGACTAAAATCACAGTCATCCCTGATAACCAAGGAGACTCTTTGCATGCTAAAGGCCCTCTGAAGAGCAACATCTGGGTCTTCACATTGCAAGGGAAAGAGATTTTATTGAACTGGTCCAGCCAAGTCACTAAATAGATTAACAAGCACACAATTACAACAAGCCCCAGGAAGGGGAGGGAATTATTATCTAGAGTTGCTACAATATATTACCTAAAACATCCATTTTCAACAGTAAACAACAACAAAACACTAGACATGCAAAGAAACAGGTACATGTGGAAAGCAGACTACACAAATGGCCCAGATATTGGACTTAGCAGAAAAAACTTCAAAGTTCCTATTATAAATACGTTCAAAGAACTAAAGGAAACCATATTTAAAGAACAAAAGGAAGGTATGATTATATCATCTCGCAAAATAGATTAAGATATAGAAATTATAAAAAAGAAGCAAATGGAAATTCCAGAGTTGAAAAGTACAATGACTGAGATGAAAAATTCAGTACAAGGGCTCAGTAGTAACTTTGAACTAACATAAGAAGAAAATCAGTGAACTGGAAGACAAATTGTTAAAGATTATGCAATCTGGAGAACAAAGAGAAAAAAAGAATGAAAGAAAATTAAAAGAACTTCAGAGAAATATGAGATACTATTAGCTGAACCAACAGATGCATAATGGGACTACCAAAAGGAAAGCAAAGGGGAAAAGGAGCAGAAAAAATATTTAAAGAAATAATGATTGAAAATTTCCCTACTTTGATAAAAAACTATTAATCTACATATCCAAGCAGCTCAACAAGCTCCAAGTAGGATAAACACATAGAGATCCACACTCAGAAACATTCTAGTAGATATGTTGAAAAACAAAGAGAAAGAGAAAATCATGAAAGCTGCAAGAAAAAACACACCTCATCACATGCAACAGAACCCCAACACTATTATTAACAGCTGATTCTCATTATAATATAGGTAGCAGTAGGATTACATATACAAAGACCTGGAAGAAAAAAATGTCAACCAAGAAACATATTTGCAAAACTATGGCAAAATAAAGATATTTCCAGATAAACAAAAACTGGGGGAATTTCTTGCTAGTAGACCATATTAAAAATGTGAAAGGAAGTTCTTCAAGCGGAAAGCAAGTTGCACCAGACAATAATTTGAAAACACACACACACACACACACACACACACACACACACACACACACACACAAAAGAGCACATGTAAAGATAATTATGTAGGTAAACAAGACAATATAATTTCATATTTATTTTCCTTTCTTCCCTTAATTGATTTAAAAACAATTGTATAAAACAATACCTATAAGCATAATGTCAGGTCTATAACATGTATAATATATTTGACACTAACAACATAAGTGAGGTGGGTAGTAACAAAGCTTTATTGGAATAAGGAGTGACACAAGATGGTTACTCAAATTATAAAAAGAATTGAAAAGAAACAGACGTGGTAAATAAGATGGCTAGTATAACCAATTCTGTAGATATTTACTTTCCTATACATAAAGACAAAAACTACTGAAACTGCATCAAGAAGAAATAGAAAATCTGAGTAGACCTATGACAATAAAGAGTTTGCTATGGCAAACTCTTTTGAGTTTGAATTAGTTATTTAAAAACTTTCCCCAAAGAAAAACCCATGCCCAGATGACTTCACTGATGAATTCTACCAAATATTTAAAGAACAATTAATATTAATCCTTTCCTAACTCATTCTACAAGGCCAGTATTACCCTGATAAGAAACCCAGACAGAGACATCACAAGAAAAAGAAACCAAACTGCAGACTAATATCTTCATGAATATAGATGTAAATATCCTCAACAGAATACTAGTAAACCAATCCAGCAACATCTAAAGTCTTTATACACCATACCAAGTGGGACTTATCCCAGGAATGGAAGATTGGTTTAAAATTATAAAACAATTTGTGTAAAAATCCTATTAATAGAATAAAGGACAGAAACGCATGATTATCTCAATAAGTTTAGAAAAATCATTCAAAAAAAATAGAAATCAAGAAGTCTTTCATGAGAGCAACACTCAACAAACTAGAAAGAAAAGGGGACTTTCTCAGTCTGACTAAGGTCATTGCTATGAACTGAATATCTGTGTCCCCCTAACATTCACATGTTGAAACCTAAGCTCCAAGTGTGATGGTATTTTGAGGTAAAGCCTTTGGAAAATAAGTCACGAGGAAGAGCCTTCATGAATGGAATTAGGCCCTTCTAAAGAAGAAACAAAAGAGCTTGCTTTTACACTCTGTTCTCCACCATGTGAAGATACAAGAAGATGGCCATAAGCAAACCAGGAAGCAGGCCCTCATCCAGACAAGCGGTCTACCAGCACCTGATCTTGGACTTCTCATCCTCCAGAGCTGTGAGAAATAAATACCTGGTTTTTTAGCCATCCAGTGTATGGTATATTTATTGTACCAGCTCATACTAACCAAAACAGCCATCTATTGAAAACCCCACAGCTAACATCATACTTAATGGTGAAAAATTGGACTCTTTCACTCCAAGATGTTTGGGTTGTCTTCATTTGGTATATGAGCATGTAATTTATCACATTAGGAAATAATCTAGTTCTTTCTCACTCACTAATTCACACTGATATTTTTATGTATGAAGCTGTATTAATTACCTATTACAGTATTACATTCCGTTCTGATCTTTTGCAATAACTTTCTCAGAATTATGTTTTGCTTTTAAATAAGTATGATAGTTGTATCTCAAGAAAAAAAGAATAAGGTCTTGTCCCTTTAGGTTTCATATTCATTGCCACAGCAATGTACATAACAGTCTCTTCTTTTAATTTCTTGTCTCAGTCCTGATTAATTTTTTATGTCTTTGTTTTTATTTATTTTCTTAATTAGGCCCATAGCAGGGTTCTTTTTCCTAATCTGAGAGCCTTTCCTTTTATTTATTTTTTTTTAAAGAATTTTAATCAGTCTATTCACATTTTTTTGTGGTAATTGATAATTTGGTTTTATTCTCTCAATCTTATGAGATGAATAAATGATTTAATTCTGTAAGACACTTTTGTTTTGGACGCAAAGATTCTCCTTTTTGAGAGAGTTCTAATTCTGAATTTCATATTCAGTATTCAATACATGTAATGATTGGTGCTGATGTAAACCTATTAAATAAATTTCTTCTTTCCTTCCCTTATCTTCATGCAGACAAATTGAGTGGCAGTAATAATTCAAACAAAAGACAAAAAATCGCTCAAGACTTTTTCACCTCTATTGACCAAACAGGAGAACTCTTAGCAATGCTTGAAGATGATGAAATTGATGAAGTTAAACAAGAAAGAATGGAGGTATTGCACATTCTTCCCTTTTTACAGTAATAGAATAACCAATGTAGAGCCAGTGTTATTCGGTTCTATTACTATGTTTGAATGTTGTCTGGAGTGCCTAAGTCATTGTTTTCATGTCTGAAGGCAGCGTTGTGCAGTGGCCTGGAGAGGCTGTCAGACTCTGCCTTCAAAGTTGACTTTGAGAAACAACTTCAGTTTCCTGTTTTCTCCTTTGAATATCAATAGATTTCCCTCTGCTTCCTTCTGGATCTTACTTTGACTAATGTTGTTTTACTCCTGAAAAACTAATTGATAATTAAATATTTACTTATTTTTTGTTCAAATCATCCTGTTATCTTTGTGGGCATAGGTAATTCTTTACCGCATTTGTGCTGGCATATAGCATAAAGAACTATTTTTCAGGCTGCAGTTGCAGGCGATGGTGGGACTCACTAGCTAAGGTAGTATCCAGGTCAATGACATGCGTTCTGTCACTGTAACACAAAGTTAGTGACGTAGGCTTGGATTCCCTGGATATGTTTTAACAATGACTATAAAAGCATGTCTTCTATTTACCTTAGCTATCTATTTATAAAATTGATTCCTTAAATACTTTCAAAAATTAACAATAATGATTGATTTCATTCGAGTGCCTTCCAAAATACAAGGCATTATTCTTATCATTCTTCTTATTGTTATACTTTTACATGTAAAAAATAAATGAAAAGCTCTGTTTCCCCCTTCTCTTTAAATTAGGCAAGAGAAGTAATTTCAGAACTCCAAAAGATTGCACTAAGTGCCTGTTTTATCATAGTCTCTGTGCATGCTAAAAATATAATTATTTCATGTTAAATTTTGGAGGAAGTCCAATAGACATACATGCTTTATAAACTTTAACAACCTTCTTTAAAGAATTAGTATGCTTAGATCATGAACTGTGATCTAAAAGGCAATGTTCTTCTTAGGTATCAATTACCTTAGAAATGTGTGGTTATCTTGGTTTGGGACGACTGCAAATGGTTTTAGTTCAACTTCGCCTTGGGCCAAAAACATGCTAAGTTGTCCAATGCAGACGATAAACATATATTTCTGATGTCATTATGGCCTAAACAGGATATGATTGTTTAGTGGCATGGTTTCACTTATGATGCATTACACAGAGAGAAAATAATGTTTATGCTTTATTTTAAAAATATTTTTATATTATACAAATGGGCATGAAGAAAGAGTCATTAAGGAAGGACTCTATATAAAACATTAGTAAAATTGAACAAGCAGCTTTTCAATTTTGTTGGGAAAATCTCTGTCAACCAAGCCCATTGCCCAGAAGGGCATTCCACAATCAAGGAGAAGAGAAGAAATGGAGCGTGTTGTAACACTAAGCTCATAATAGCAGGCTACTGTAGGCCTGGAAAAACGATGAGTCAGTCAGGTACAAGTTAAAGTCAATAAAATGTCTGGAAACACAGAGTAGAAAAAGCGGGAGAATTTATTCCGTTTATGTACCTCTTTCCTGTCGTCGTATCATATCATAGTGGTAACCAGGATAATAAAATATCAATAGTTGATAAAAATAGTTATGATGAAATTATCATCTATATAGTAAAAATTAGATTGGTAGTTTCTCTAAGCTTTATATCGTAACTAAAATCTTCCCCAACCAAGATAAAAAAAAAAAAGTTTTAAGAGTCTACTCATCTAAATAACAGAGTTTAACTGAATAAAAGTGCTGAACTCGTAGACATAACTATAGATGGTAGAAAGTGGAACCATTAAGAGCATAGGCCTTGCCTGCTTCTAATTTGACAGGTTATAGTTTCAAGCGTAAACCACAACTGTGGCAGTTCATATGAAACCACTTTGGACTCACAGACAGCAATCTCTTGCTTTTAAAGTGCAGTAGGATAATCAGTCCTGGCATCACTCAGTGATTTAATTTTCCTCTAAGCATCTCTTACGGTTGCAAAAACTTTGTCTACATTCTCCCCTAGAATGTATGTAAGTGGTATAGACCTACCAGCAAAGCTTATTAATTGTTTTTCTTTCTTCTTTTTTTTTCATTTAAATGTAGTTTAGAAGAGAAACAAATTTATAGACATAAAAACTCACATGGGATCCTAGCTTTTGCTCAAAACACTGAGCTGAGCAAGCATGCAAAACGCTGAGTTCTTTCCTGTTGCTTTTAGCTGATTTCTATATATGCCAGGCTTTGTGTTTCACTCATAATTTATTTCATTAATATTATATATTATGTGATTTAAAATATAAGAAAAGTCTGAATTTTTATATTCATTTCTACTTGCTAGTCCATCATCATGATGGCTAATTTTTACACTGTTTTTGTCCAGCATCAAATTTCTAACACTTGGGTTTATGTATGGTAGATAGCTGTGATCTCTGAAGATCCTCCTAAATTCTCAGATAAAGATTAAATAATATTCAGACTTGCTTTAGTGTGTTTGAGAGACCAAGAAAGAGAAGCAGGGAAATGGTAAGCATAATAATATATAAATGCCCACTGTTCCCCCCAACTACCTCTCATCCTCACTTAACCCCCACCCCAGAATGACAAAGGTGTGTTTCACCATTTCTTACATTCTAAGTTACATTATAAGTTTTTGACAACTAAATGTAACTGTGTCAACCAAAGACCAAGAAAGGGTCCCTAAAAGCTGCAGATAGCTTTGGAACTGTGGTCACTCACAGAAGAGCCTTGCCTAAAACCCAGCTGCTGTACTGTGAAGGAACCTGAGAAGCTCAGGTTTATCATTTTCAACTTAAATACCTCGTCTGATAAACGATCAGGTTTGTGAAGGGTATGTAAACAATAAATGCTTTAAAAATTGGGTGAACTCTACCTTCTGACTAATCCTCAAACTGATCAAAGTAAACAAGAGAGCCTAGACTGACCCTCACCAGAGAGAGCAGCCTTTAAACAGATAGGGGTGCCGAAAATCCCCAGGGACTGTTTACCTTGTGTTTTTAGGTCAGAGGTCTAATACTGACGTCTAGAAAGACAGCGGAATGGAATACATGAAATTTCAGGCAGCTTAAACATTTTTTAAATTGGCTTAAAATTGAATAAGATCCCAGGTGGCCATCTGAATTTAACCTGAAGTGACTGGCGATAGATTTAAAAACACAAGAGTTTCTCATAAAGGTTGAATGATCAGAGAAATCAGGTATACCATTCAGTTATGTCCCAAGGATAATAAGATTATGATCCCTGGGGCTTTTGAGTCCCAGTGTTACAGTTTTTAGAGTTAAGGAGACTTGAAAGCTCATTGAAGAAGCCAGAGGTAGATGGCTATAGATGTACTCCATCTTCTCCTGTTTTTGAAGTGTGTTCTTTCTGCTATTCCCCTTTTCTACCTATCATGATTTTTTTAAATTATAAAGTAGATTAAAATGTGTTTAAGACTAACAGTTTAAACATAATATCTTAGATAACATCATAAAAGAAAAAAATCTAATCCCAGTAAGATAAATATTTACGAATACCAAAAAAATTATAAAGGTTGAGTTAAAAATTGAAACCCAGAAAACGTTTAAAATATAAATGTATATAGGATTAAGAAATACAGAATTTATATACTAGAAAGATGTAGTTTAATATATACAAATATGCATATACATTTGCATACATACATATACTGTGCCCTTATATGTGTGTGTATCCTATACCTATAAGAATAGAAATATACTTTTACTAGATTTTTTACATGTAAAAGTAAAAGAACAGAGGATATCAAACTAAAATGCTAATAACAGCAATATTAGTTCAGAGGAAAGAAAATTCAAGAGGAAAGATTTAAAGTGGAACAAAGTCAGTAAGTTTTCTTACTGAAAGATGCTGCCTATAATGAAGATAGTAAATACAAAATGTTAATCATCAAATTTTAGATAATTGAAACATGGCAAGCCAAAGCTTCCAGTATTGAGGGGAGAGGTCAGAGGAATGAACATGTTTGTTGTGGAGACACCATTCTCAGTATGTAGCAGATTGACTTGGGGGAAAATGTTTAATAATGAAAATGTAAGTTTATCTAATAGATATATATA